GTGGGTGTATGGAGATAGGGTATCTCAATATATACAAGGATGTAGGCATGGGTATAAGGGTATTGATTTTCTGGTAAGTTCCCAGGGCAGATGTTCTCCAGCTGGGAGTGGCCTCTGGCTTTTTAAGAACCTAACTCCTTATCGGGCACTTTGGTCTGGGTGTGGCATTGGGGAAATGATAATAAAACCAGTTACTCAGTAGGCCTTAGAACTCTTCAAATAGATTTATTGGGGTGGCAGAAACAAAAAGGGAAGACTCCAGGGGGTAGGAAGAAGGTAGAAGGGGTCAGAAAGGAAACAACATGACATACACCATTCTGTTGAGAAATAGAATAATTCCTCAGGAGAGCTCTGTATTGGGGAAATAGAGTTCAATCTAATGACTTTGTTTTTGTGATCCTAAGTTAGGGGGGTTTTCACAGGGAAAACTGATGTTTAGAGAGGGAGGACATGGGAACCTATCCTTTCCCACAACTCCTGGGATTTCTGAGGAAAACAAAACATTGTGGATTTCTTCTTTTGGTCCTTGGTTCTAGAGTTTTGATACTTTTAATATTTTTTCATCACTATCTTGCTTCTGTCTGAGTTCAGCCAATGTTGGCCTTTCACTTAGGTTTCAGGGTCAGGCCATGTCGCCTTTGATAGAGTAAGGAGAGGGAAGAAAATGGATACAACCAGTTAGTTGTACAGGAGAGAATATCATAGAAGGGAGACTGAGAGAAAACAGGAGTATTAAGGTCAGAGCTGTAAAGAAGGCATGCTTGGTGAAGAGGGTTGAAATTATCTTTACCATTTCCATTACCCTGGATGGGAACAAGGTGAACAACACAGCTTAGGACAGAACTTCTACTTTTCTCTCCTTCATCAAGCCAGACACGACCTTAAGCACAGGGGCTGGAGGAGAAGTAGAAACACCTGAATGGGATTCCAAAGACCTAGGTTTGAGTCCTGATTCTGCAACTGACACTAATTCTGCAACTGAGGGCTAACATCTGATCCTAGTCACTTCACCTGTAAAATGGGAATAATACTTTTAACTACTTAATTCACTGGATTATTTTGAGGAAAGTGCTTTGAAAAGCTTAAAATAATGAGCTATTATTTTGATCTTTCCCTCCCCTCTTCTCCTGCAACCAGCCCCAAGTCACAAGACTTAGCCAAAGTCAGAAAGATCTGTTCATGTTCAGGGGCTAGTGAGTAGAATAGAACCAGATTACGGAAGGCCTTGTAGATAACAGGACTTGATTGGAGCCTAGAATAGGTAGGATTTGGATAGATAGAGAAAAGGAAGAAGGAATTCTAGGCAGAAAGAAAAGTCAGAAGATGTGTGGTGGCTAGGGAATACAATAGTATGAAAAAAATAAGGGGGCATTGTGAAATAAAACTGAAATTAGGTTGTAACTAGATTTGGAAGGGTCCTTTTCGAGTAAGGTTACAGAATTTTAACCTTTCCCTCTCAATAATGGGGAGTCATTGAAGGTTTATGAAAAGGATTGATGATGAAAGTGAATGTTAGGAAGATTAATCTGGTTGTAGTATGCAGTAGAGATTTGAGGGGAGAGGGTCCAGAAACAGGAAGTCCTGTGAGAAGGGTGTTGCAATAGTCCAGGTGTGAGGTGAGAAGGTGGAAATAATGAAGAAAACAACCGAAAGTTATGAGATCAGACTGGGATGGATAATGGGAGAGAGATTAATCATGGACAGATAGCTTTGAAAGTCTTCAAGTAATTCAACCTGAGTACTTATCAAAGGAAGAAAAAAAAATAAAGGACAGATGCAATGCCGAGGAAGAATAAAAAGGAAGACAACTATCCACAAAGTAAAAATGGAAGGTAGTCAGAAAGGTCAGGGTACAAAACAATTATTAAAATTAATAGCCAGATAAGAAGGAACATTAAGGAGAAGAAAAGTATATGGTATTGATTTTTAAAAAATTTTTAAATATATTTTGTTTATTTCATTGAATATTTCCCAATTACTTGTAAAAATTTTAACAATTTAAAAAAAATTTCAAGTTCCAAATTCTTTCCCTCCCTCTCACCTCTTCCTTCTTTTTGAGAAGGCAAGCAATTTGATATCAGTTACATATATGAAGTCATGTAAAGCATATTTCCATATTGGCTATGTTGCGAAATAAAACACAGACATAAAACAACAAAAATGAAGATAAAGAAAGTAAAAAGGTATGCTTCAATCTGCATGCAGAGTTCATCAGTTCTCTCTCTGGAGGTGGATAGCATTTTTCATCATGGCTCCTTTGGAATTGTCTTGATCAGAGTAGCTAAGTCTTTCATAGTCGATCATCCTTACAATATCACTGTTACTGGGCATAATGTTCTTCTGGCTCTGCTCACTTCACTTTGCATGAATTCATACGTCTTCCCAGGTTTTCTGAAACGATGCTGCTCATCATTTCTTATGGCACAATTACAATCATATAGCACAACTTGTTCAGCTATTCCCCAACTGATGGCAATTCCCTCAATTTCCAATTCTTTGCTACAAGAAAAGAGCTGCTATAAATATTCTTGTACAAATATGTCCTTTTCCCTTTCTTTGATCTTTTTGGGATACTGATATGGTATTAATTTGAAGAAAGGTCAGGATTAGAAAAAGAAAGAGTCTTTCATTTGGCTAAGAGGAAACTTATAAAAGTTTTGGTTAAGGGAAGACCTTATCAGAGGTAAGTTTTTAATAGAGTTAAGTGGTTGGAAGCTATATTAGAAAAGGAAAAGGAGTGAACTGGATAAAGAGTGGGAAAGGAAAGAACAGATAGGAAGTAGTCAAATTTATGATGTTATTGAAATTGAAGGTTCAGAAGATTTATAGATAACCTTTGAGGTCATCTAGTCCAAACTCTTATTCAATAGATGAGAAAATTGCGAACAAGAGACATAGACAGGATCACTGGATAATAGTAAAAACATTTTAAAGTTTGTAAAGCAGATGCTATTATTATCTCCAGTTTATAGATGAAGGAACTGAGGCTAAGACAATCTTGCCTAGGTTATATAACTACTGAATATCTAATTTGGGTAGGGTTTGAACCTAAGTCTTTGTGACTTTAAGGTTCTTTCCCATTTCTACATCCATTATTTTTTCTACTATACTGAGATGAAATAGAAACCTGGAGGAAGCAGTCAGTCCCAAAACATTTATTAATTGCTTACTATGTTCTGTTCAGCACTGAGGGTACAAAACCAAAAGAAAGGCTCAACTTCAATAGGGAAGATGAGATGTAAATAACCAGGAAAATTCAAGACATATACAAAGTAGACTGAAGGTAATTTCAGAGAGGTGGGTACTGTGGGAACCAGGAAAAGCCTTCTGTGGGAGGTGACATTTGAGCTGAGTCTTGAAGAAAGCCTGGAGGACTTCAAGAAATAGAGATGAAGAGGAAAGCCTGGAATCAGGCATGGAGGACAGCCAGCCAGAGCAAATGCATGGAGACAAGGGATGGAGTGTCAGGTGAGAATAGCAAGTAGGTCCAGGGTAGGTGTATTGTACATGGGGTATGGGGAGGTATCACAGTGGTTAGAGCACAGGGCCTGGAGTGGAGAAGACTCCGGTCTCCGAGTTCATATCTGGCTTCTGACACTTACTAGCTATGTGACCCTGGGCAAGTCAACTCAACCCTGTTTGCCTCAGTTTCCTCATCTGTAAAATGACCTGGAGAAGGAAATGGCAAACCACTCCAGTATCTTTTGCCAAGAAAACCCCAAATGGGGTCACGAACAATTGGACACTACTGAACAATACCATACCCTGGACAAGTCACTCAACCCTGTTCGCCTCAGTTTCCTCATCTGTAAAATGAGCTGAAGGAAATGGCAAACCACTCCAGTATCTTTGCCAAGAGAGGTGGCTACCACTGAACCACTACAACAAAAATATAAGACGAGAAAAGTAGGTAAGGCCAGGAAATCAAAGGCTTTCAGTGCTGAACACAGATTTATCATATTGGAGGACGGGGGACCACTAGTGTTTACTGAAGAGGAGCATTACATGGTTAGGAAAGTCACTTTGGTATTGAATGGAGGATGGATTGGAGACCAAATGGAAGGCTATTGCCATAGTCCAGGCAAGAGTTCTGAGTTAGATGGCAGGTGACATACAGGAGAAATGTTGTGAAAGTAGGAACAAGAAGCTTGGGCAACTAGATTAGATACATGGGGTGAGAGCGAAGAGTTAAGGATGATAACGTGGTTTGCAATGCAGCCTGAGTGCTTGGGACGATGGTCCCCCCCTCCCCAACAGTAATGAGGAAGTTTAGAAAAGGAGGCATGATAATGAGTTCTGTTTTGGATATCGAGTTTGAGATGTGAAACTGCAGCTCAGGAGATCCTCTGGCTGCATAACATAGAAACGGGAATCATCTGCCTAGAGATTCCTATGGGAACCCAAGCTTTCGAAGCATAAAAAACTAAAGGGCAATTAAAAAAAAGGCCAGAAGGGAGTGTCCTACAAAAGAGAACATCAGAGGGAGTTGTGGTGCAGTGGAAGGAACACTCTCTTTGGTGTCCCGCGACTTGGATTCAAATTCTGCATTTCTCAATTCCCTTCTCTGAGCCTCAGTTTCCTCATCTGTAAAGTGAGGAGGAGGGTGGCTGATCCTTTCCAGTTCTAGAAATCCTATGATTTTTGAAACAAGGAAAGAAAAAGTTTCCGCCCTGGCATCGCAGAGCCTTGAACCAAGACGCCAAGTGGCTAGCGCGGACGGGAGCGGGGCCGGGAGGAGGGCCCGTGCCTCACCCCGGGGCTCAGCCGGCAGCGAGGTTTCCGTGCCAGCGGCGTGTCCCGGAGGGGTTGGCGGTGGGGGAGCGGGAGGGGTTTCCGCTGCGGGGGGCGGGGCTTTGGGGAGGGCGGGGCCGAAGCGCGGACTCTTCTGACGGCTCCAGTCAGGGAATTTCAATTTGAAACCTGCGGGAGGGAGGAGGAGGAGGAGGAGGAAGGAGAGGAAGAAGAGGAGGAGGAGGAGGAGGAGGAGGAGGAGGCTGCAGCGGAGACGGCGACGCGGAGCACAGGGCGCAGGGGTTGAGCCAGCTCCCGGCGGGCATCGTGCGGGGTAAGCGGCCGGGAAGGAGGGAAGGAGCCGGGGCCGACTCGTGGCTCGGCTCGCTGGGGCGGCTGTGATTTCCCCTCGGGCTGCATCTAGTCTGGGGATCTCGGGCAGGAAGCGGCGGCGGCCGGACGGTCCCCGGTGGGGGCGGAGGGAGGGACGGACGGGCGGGCGGGCCGGC